TTCCGCGATTGTTCGTGTCATGTATTCAAACAAAACATGTAAGCGCAGTAAGCATCTTGGAGCGAGATGGGTCGATGCGTAGACTCTTCAACGAAGAGGTGCTCCGAGTCTCCGAAAGGGCTACCGAGATGGCTCCAGGAGGCCTCCAACAGCTTGTTGCGGGTCCCCGTGTCGTCAATGTTGGGGCCGTTTGGGCCGATCTTGGCGCCAGTTTGACGGAAGAGTCCCCCGCGTCTTGCATTCGGCGGCGAGCCCAGGGAGGAAGTGAGATGGGTGTAAGGTCATCTCGGAAGGCGGCGGGGCTTCTCCGAAGCACTCCGGCCCTCGGAGGAGCCGTCCCCGTCTCCGGGGAACGCTGAGAGGAAGCTGAGCAGAAGGCCTGAGGCCTTCCGAGCCCTCAGAGAAGGCCCGGCCCCCCCTTGTGTTCTCCCGACTGGCTCGCCGCGTGCTCACTGCACGGTGCGCTCCAAGAAGAGAGAGCCCCGCCTCCGAGGGGTCGAGACGTCGACAGCGCTCTCTCGCGGCGGCAGGGCGGGCGGAAACTGGCGGGCCCCCGTTCTGCCGTAGGGTACCAGCCTCGAACGTATCCCTATCCCTAAGATTGACACGCCAAAAGGCGATGGCAATCTTAGGGATTCGCCCTCAAAAAACAAGGGAATCCCTAAGATTGGCATCGTGATGAGGAGGTGCCCAGCATAGGGATAGGGATATGTTCCAGGCTGGTAAGTAGGGCACCGAGTCGATTCGACCGTCGAGCTGCGCCGCGCAGGGCGTGCGGCCTTTCGTGTGCCCCCGCAGCAGCTTCCATGGAGCTCGGGAGTAGCGGTCACGAGAGGAAGCTGGCTGGAACAAAACGAGGCCGGCTCCCTCGGCGGAAGTTGGCGGACGCAGCACGGCGCGCACTTGAAGATGTTGCGCGATGCCCCCCACACTCGGAGCACTTCAAGCAAGCGACTGATACGTACAGGAGCAGCCCTCCGGCCGACGATGGCTTCGAGAAAAAACCCGAGCATTCCAATAGTACCCGCGAGGCCAAGGCAAATTGTGAAGCCGCTGCGAGATATTTTAAGAGAGTCCACAGACACGTTCCAGAATTCTCCAAGGACGACCGCTGACCTCTCCAAGAATACCTCCAGGTTGGACCCCAACCCCAACCGCATGCTTGTTAATCAGGGCCTCTCGAGGAAAACTCGCGATAAAATCACCGACAGCTTTTGTACCCAAACACGACAAATACAGTCGGGGCCCTGAAGAAGGAACCCGTTTCGTTGGGGAGTGGCTCCGTGTTCCTTAATTGTTTCGCAGTTTGCCTTAGATGTTCCTTAGGGTTTCGATGGGAAATCGAAGTTTAACTTATGGAAAATAGGGGCCTCGTTCCGTATTTAGGGTTCCCTGGGTCAGCGCCCCGATTGTACCCCGACAAATCTATCAAGCACCGCCGTGAGCCCGAACACAGTCCCCGCTAGCACCTTGTGCCCTCCGAGAAGAGCCAAGGAAGAGCATGGAGCTAGGCAGGGAGAAGCGGGAACGTGGAGAAGAACAAGCAGGGCAAAGGTGAGGACGAGGAGGAGATGGGGGGGAACATTCAGGGCTCTGGCCGCTCACGCCGTCCTCTCCCTTTGTCCTCATCTCACGTTCCTGCCCGGTTCGCCCTTCTCCCTGTCCCAGCCCCTGTTTTCTTCTTCATCTCTCCTTCCTCCTCATACTCCGCCCCCCTTTCCCCCTGCTCTCTCTGACTCTCTCTCTTTCTCTCTCTCTCTCTCTTTCTCTCTCTCTCTCTTGCTCTTTGTGTCTCCCCTTCCCCCTGATGATCGCCACTCCCTATGAATTCTGGACCCTGCCCCGATAAAAGTCGCACATGTACGAGTGGAGAGGGGAGAACATTGTCGAGGCTCGACGCATTCAACCAGCGTCGAGATCATGACCAAACCTGGGTCCTCTGACTCCTTGAAGCCACTGGCTTGAGAGATCTCTGCAACTCGCCCAATCCATCTCCAGCCAAGCGAAACTCGGGGATGCGCTCCCAGCAGGCTCTTCGGGCGCACCTCTATCGATGATGGACGCCCTTCCATCGTACTCTCCCGAGTTGGGCCTGTTGCCCCCAGAACCCCCCCACATAGCCCACATAAAGCTGGGGCTTGGGGTCGCCATGCCCCCAGTTGGGGAAAAAATCGTTCGGGCGCCCAGACAGGCCACCCGGCGCTTCCGGAAAGAGAGGCGCGGAGGCCTTCTCGTCGTGGGCGAAGCGCGCACAGCCGTCTCCGCGGCCTCGCGAGCCGGGCCCCTGGGCCGCGACCCCGCGGAGTCGGGGCGCCTTCTCGCGGAGGCCCTCTCTTCGGATGCAACTCTTGGGAGGTCACGTTCTGATTTTGCCTTGGTCCGAAATCCAGCCGAATCCGGCTTGATCCCGCTCAATCCGGCTCAATCAATCCCGTTGAACCCCTTTGTGTCCAGCTCAATCCCGCTGAATCCGAGGCCCACGCCGGCGTAGCAGCCCCCCACTGGGGCTTCGTCCTCCTTAACCCTTCCGACGAAAACCTCCCCAGTAGTTGCCTCCTAATCCTAATGGAGGATGACGATTAATAAATAACCGGGGGTCGTGTTCACGCGGCGGCGCCCGGGATGACGATTATGAAAAACCGGCCGCGGGCTGGAAATCTATTTCTTTAATCGTTCTCTTCCAGTCAGAAATCCATGCAGAAATAGCAGAAGACTATTTTTTGTTAATCGTTCTCTCCAATTTTTTATTAATCGTCATCCCGCATTACCCGTGCGACCGCCCACCTGCAGGATCGCGCCCCGGGCTCCAGGCCGCGAGGGCGCGGACACGGGCACGACGCCGCCCCTGGCCCGAAGCCGACCACGGCTCTGCCGCGCTGCACGGCCTTTGCCCGTGAGCGAGGCGGCGGGCGTGCGCGGCGCCGCGGCGCCGGGCGACCCGTCGGCCCTCCCAGCAGGGCACCTTCCGGCTTGGCATCGCTCGGACGTGTGCATCTTTCCTCGGCGAGGACCTTCGAGGAGCGCCCTCGACCACCGAGCCAACAAAAAGCGCGCACGGAAGCGAGGCATGCTCGGGGAGTGGACGTCCGAGCGGTGGCGAGGCGAGCGAGGAGGCAGAGGTACGAGGGCGAGGAGTCCGACGCGGCATGAGACAGTTTCTTCTCCGGCGAGTGCGGGCGTGACTGGGCAGTGGGGGGCGAGGCGGGGGCTGGTCACCGTCGCGGTTCGCGCCAGCGCCGTGTGGGAATGCTCGAGAGTGGCTCCTTCCACACGGCGCCAGCGCGAATCGTGACGTGACCAGGGGCCCCCGGGGTACGGGAGGGCGGGGCGGCGGGGCCGGTCACGGGCGCTATCGTGAACAGTAGAAAGATGGGCTTTGCGTTCGTGGACCATCGTGGGGAGGTACAGTTCCATGTCGGCCACCTGCCTGGGTCCCTGAAGATCGATGCCCCCAGGCGGTGATCATGGGTCCAAGACCCCGCCTCGAACCAGGGGCCAGGAGGAGCCGGAGAAGCAGAGGCCGCCTCTGCTCATTCGAGAAAGGCGGTGTGCAGTGACAGGGCGGAGGGCGAGGAGGATCCCCGCGTGCGGTGTGGCGTCCTCCCCTCCCCTCCCGGACGGCGCTTGCGGCGCGGCGAGAGGACCGAGTAAAGTTGCCAGCCACGATAGAGAGAGAGAGAGAGAGAGAGACACACACACACACACACACACACACACACACACACACACACACACACACACACACACACGCGAATCGCCTCAAACGGCGCCCTGCCTGAGACGGTCCTGTCGTCCCGAGCGGGTCCTCCATGCACCCCTGGGGGGATCTCCCTTGGGCAGTCCACAGAGCGTAATGACTGCCAGAATCTGGTGGCCCTGGGGCTCTGGAAGGGAAGGAGAGAGAGGGGGAGCGAGAGTTAGAGGGACACAAACGCAAACACAAACACACACACACACACACGCACACACACACACGTATGAGCCACGCTAAAAGCAGTATTTCGGACACCAGCCATCCCGACAAAACGAATTCGCGCAATCGTGCCGAATGGCAGATGCTCCGCAAGTTTTTAGTGCGCCACCGCCGCGGAGGCTGCTTGCGGAGCATCTTTAGGGAGCATTCGCCGATTGCTCTCATGTGTCACAAGAGGACACGCGTTCGATGAAAAGCCTTGCGCGAGTGAACCAGGTGCTTTCGTTTCCTCGCGTTCCGCCTTCTCCCTCACCCTCCCTCCCTCCTTCTCGTCGCCCGTCCCTCCTCCTCTATCGTCCCTCCTTCTCCTTCATTCTCCACCTGATCCGCGTCGTGCTCGTCCCCAATTCGCTCCCCCCTTTTCCCCGGCAGACAGATCCACCAATGTGCAGAGGCACAAAGTCGAAGAATTCCCAGAAGCCACCAAGCTACGTACCAGAGTTCAGGACCTACCACCAACGGCTCGTCCTCGCCTATGTGGCCATGCGTCCTTAGCAGGTGGTAGGACAGCCAAGCTCTCACCGATCGCGGCGAAACTCGCGGAGAGACCGCCTTCGCTAGTCGCCTCCTCTACCTCCTCCGCCTCGCTATCCCCCCCTCCTCATTCGGAGGATCTTGCTGCTCGCTGAGCCCTCTTCCCCTGCCGGGGCAAAGACAAGACATCGCTGAGACATGCTTGCTCCGCCGTCCGTTCTTTATATGTCTGGATATCCCCTCTGTCCGCTTCTCTCCCCTTTTCTCCTCGCCGCCGTCCTCTCTCCTCGTTTCGTCCTCCTCTCGTCTTTTCTTCTATCTCCTGGACGTTCTCCTCCTCTTCTCTCCTCCCTCCTCCTTCCTCTTCCTTCCTCCTCTTCCTGCTGCTGCTGCTGCTGCTCCTCCTCCTCCTCCGCCTTCCCCGCGCGCGCTTGCGAGCACAACAGGATGAGGAGGAGGAGGGGGAGGAGGAGGAGGAGGAGGAGGAGGAGGAGGAGGAGGAGGAGGAGACGGAGAAGGGGGAGGAGGAAGGGAGAAAGAAGGAGGAGGAGGAGGAAGGGAGAAAGGAGGAGGAGGAGGAGGAGGAGGAGGAGGAGGAGTAGGAGGAGGAGGAGTTGTGAGGAGTGAGGCGAAGAGGGAGGATGACCAGTGAAGGCCCTGCAAGACGACGACGGCGGCGACGGCGACCGACGCCGAGGGGGAGGGGGCGCGCGGCCACGCCAGGCACAGCTCGGCGCGTACTCGCTGGGATCCATGCTGGAGCCGGGCGGCCCAGAGGCCGCGGCCCACACATCGGTTCTAGGAACATTTTGTGGTAGGGGTGTACGAATGTCGGGACGGTCGGTCCTTGTTCAAGCATCCGCGCCATGGCCGTCAGATGTTCGTTTGGGGGGTCCTTCCCGGGGGCCACCCAGCGGATCGGTTTGAAACTCTGGCTCGAGCCCAGTTCGACTCTACCCCGGCTCAAGCTCGACGCCAGTTCGACTCGAGTTCGACTCAAGCTCGGCGAACGTTCGACGCAGCATCGACGCGGCATCGACTCACCAGCGGAGCGAGTGGCTCCGGGAAGCTCCCCTCAGCGAGCACCTGATGGCCGGGCCCGCCTCGAAGCTCCAGGCATGGCACACCCGTGGGACAGCACTCCGTCGGCCACCGGCCTGCTGGCTTATGAGGGGCTGCTGCAGGCGCCGGCTCCCCGCTGGCCTGCGCAGAGAGCAGGCGGTCGGGAGCTTTGGGATCGCGTGTCGCGCCGCCGGTTGTGGCCCACTGCGCTTCGGCGCGGCACGCTGTGCACTTCCCAGTCCAGCGGACCAGGTACTACAAGCGCACTTCGTTTCAAGGCACAGCGCATGGGCTTACGCAGACTTCCCCAGAACTCGGCGAATCTTTCAATGCCACCGGGGTGTTCGAAACGATGGGTGTCGAATTCGACGTAGCAGTTGTTTCGAGCTGAGCAACCAGGATCTGCTCACGTCCTGCGCCAAGCAGGGCATCACCGATCGTGTCTACTCGAGTACGTGGGACGATATCGACGATAGCGATGCGCAACAGACCATGACAAAGTTCATTGCAGGTGTCTCTTAGTCGTATAGCTTCAACGTTGTTGGCGCTTCCGCCTCAGCGTCCTTGTCTGGTGCGGGGCTCTACTCCAGTGGGGGCATCTTGAACGTGAGCTTCAGGTCGGAGTGTGTCCTACTCATCCCTGGGAGGAGGAGGAGGAGGAAGAGGAGGAGGAGGAGGAGGAGGAGGAGGAGGAGGAGGAGGAGGAGGAGAGGAGGAGGAGGAGGAGGGAGGAGGAGGAGGAGGAGGAGGAGGAGGGAGGAGGGAGGAGGAGGAGGGAGGAGGAGGAGGAGGAGGAGGAGGAGGAGGAGGAGGAGGAGGAGGAGGAGGAGGGAGGAGGAGGAGGAGGAGGAGGAGGGAGGAGGAGGAGGAGGTTCGCCAGCAGATTGTGACGACCTCGCCATTCCGCAAAATCAAAAGATCATCCCGGCCCCCGTCGCTTCGCCCGGGGTCGGCGCGCCCAAGAAAAAGCGTCGACGCAAAAACACTGAGACTCTGCAGCCTGCACTGTGGCCCGAGGTGGCCGATGTCGAGGATCTCCTCCTCCTCCTCCTCCTCCTCCTCCTCCTCCCCCTCCTCCCTCCTCCTCCTCCTCCTCCTCCTCCTCCTCCTCCTCCCTCCTCCCTCCTCCTCCTCCCTCCTCCTCCCTCCTCCTCCTCCTCCTCCTCCTCCTCCTCCTCCTCCTCCTCCTCCTCCTCCTCCTCCTCCTCCTCCTCCTCCTCCTCCTCCTTGCTTGGTCGTTGTGGTCGTTCCAGCTCTGACGATGTTCTACGACGGCCTAGGCGAGACCCCACGACCTTTTCGGGCCCACCACGTCGAAAGGTGGCCGTGCTGGTGGATTCGGTGGGTTTCGTTTGGAAGTGCTTGCGGATGAAGTCTCCTGGCGTCGGCATCTGGAGCAGCACGATCCAGGCATCCGATGGAACTGCATCCTGCTCGGTCTCTGTGCGAGTCACTTGCGCCGCTCAAGAGAGAGCGAGGTGACTTGTCTGTTGCGAGCGTTCAGCGCCAAGGCGTACGTGTCGGGCACACCCTGCCCTCAGTCGGCGGCGCGCCAAGGGGGCAAGTGAGAGGGGGCAGGCCTTCTCAGAAGGCCCCACCTCTGTTTTCGGAGATGTCTCAACGAACTTCTAAGAAGGCCCGATGTCTTCCGAGCCGTTTGAGAAGGCCCGCCCCCTCTGCATTCCCCCTGGGGAAGATAAAAGGGTGCGGATGCCGCTACTCCTTGGACCTCCTCCGGGGCGCGTTCTGACCAGACTTCCGAGGCGAATCCGGCGGCGGCGACGAGGGCCTCCTGGGAGGCCCCAAAGAGGCGGGCACGGGCCAAGGGTCGCGGCATCTGCACCTCTTCCTCCTTGGGCCCCCCGGGCTCGCCGCCGACACCAGCATGTGCGTGCTGGCCCAGCGCGTCGGCTCGGCCCCCCCCGCCCGTCGGGCAGGCCGCCGCGCCGTGTGCCACCGAGCTGGCACCGCGGGCCGCGGCGGCCGTGCAGGAGCGCACCGACCACCTGTCGCCGCCGCCGCCGCCGTTGTCGTCGTCGCCGCCGCCGTCGTCGTCGACGCAGTCGTCGTGGTCGTCTTCGTCGTCGCCAGAGTTCTGGAGGGCAGGGGAAGCTGCCGATACCGCTGCTCGCCCTGGAGAGCCTCCGTCGCCGCGGCCCGATCCCCGAAGTTCTGGTCAGAATGCACGCTCGGCGTCGTGATACGTCGTCGTGGCCGTCGTGGTTGTCGCGGTCGCCGCCGCCATCCTCGTCGCGGTCGTCGCCGCTGCCGTCGTCGCGGTCGTCGTCGTCGTCGCCGTCGCCGTCGCCGTCGCCGTCGTCGTTGTGGTCGTCGCCGCCGCCGTTGTCGCGGTCGTCCATGGTCGTCGCCGTCGTGGTCGTCCTTGGTCGTCGTCGTCGTGGTAGTAGTGATCGTCGTCGCCGCCGTGGCCTTGAACTGTCTGCGCGTTGTGCGTACGGTAGGTGCTTGTCTTTCGGCGCTGCAGCGGCCTCTGCCCGGGCGTTCAAGGTTGAACGCCGTCCGTGGCCTGGAACTGGCCGGTGTCGAGCGAGCTGCGCCACCGGAAGGCCGCGATCGTTCAATATTGAACGATCCACGCGGTATGAGCAATCAGCGCCGACGTCGTCACGTCACACGAACTGTGTCTAACGAGACGTGGGTTCTTCCTCCTCCTCCTCCTCCTCCTCCTCCTCCTCCTCCTCCTCCTCCTCCTCCTCCTCTTACATTCTATCATGTTCCGTCCTCTCCTCCGCCGATCTGCCCCTGAATATACTCCTCCTCATCTATATCATGAGCGTCCTCTTCATCCTCGTCCTGGGTGCGTGGCCCACTGCAGCCCGCATGCACGTCTCGGGACTGTATAGGGAGGCGAGGGTCGAGCCTTGCGTTTGCGAGTGCGAGCAAGCGGCAGACGAGCTTATACATTACTCAAAAGGCTTGCGTCATTCCGCCGACCACCGTGGGAGGGCTTTCAAGGCAGGGGATTTAGCTGGGACGCCTGGGGGGTTTTCACGAGGGCATTTCGGTCTCTCTCGCGTCCCTCTTGGGTTTGTGTTGAGGTCAATTTGGGGTTTCCTCGGAGGGAGCGGAGGAGGAGAAGGTGAAGGAGGAATGAGACAGGCCAGCATCTTCGCCCAGTTGACAGGGAGGCTCCCCTCTCAAGCGGTCGAGCAGAGCAGGGGGCCGGGAAGCTTGCACATTGCAGTGGAAACCCGTGCCAAGAAGCACCCTGCTTGCCTCTGGGGTGCCCTCGATTCCTTGGGTTTCCATGGTTCTGCTAGGGAAAGCGTGACGCTTCTGCACCAAAAACCAGTGGAAGTCCTGGGGTCTCAGGGTTGGGTTTCTTGTAGACGGCTTCTTGTGGACCGGCCTCCACTGAACAGTGGAAGCCCATGCCAAGGAAACACCTTGCGTGCCTCTATTCGGGTGCTCTGGGTTTCTTGGGTGTCGATGGTTCTGCCGGGGGAAGCGTGACGCTCCCACACCAAAAAACCAGTGGACGTCTTGGGGTCTCAGGGTTGAGTTTCTTGTGGAAGGCTTCTTGTGGTCGAGATCCTACTGCAGTTGTCCTGCGGTCGCGCGTGGTGGGCTGTAGGTTTGCCCCGCACGGTTGCCAATGGCTCTCCTCTGCTGCGCCTCTGCCTCGGAGGCCTCGTCTTCCCTCGACTTCAGCCCATCCACTCCCGATGCCAGCATCGGCCAGCAGTCCGTAGATGTTATTGAAAACGCTGGGGGCGTTTTTTTTTCGTTTTCAAGATCGACGTGCTTGTTCTGTTTTAGGAGCAGTTTTTTCTCTGTTGAGGGAGTGACGTCTCGCCATGTTCGGTTCGTTTTGCGAACCGTTTTCTTATTGTGTTTAATTGCCGTTTGTTATGTGTCCCGTTTCTGTCAATTGCGTTATGTGTTGGGTTGCCGTTTTTGTTCTGTTTGGGGTTGCCGTATTTCGTTCGTTTTGGGCTTGGACAGTGTCGTTTTTGTTTTGGTTTGGGCTGCCGTGGTTTAAATGTTTTGGTCGACCGCAACACGAAAAATGTGGAAAAGAACAAACGCCCCCAGCGCTTATTAAGAACAGCCAAGGGCCATTCCATTTCTGGGTTAGCTCGGCTGCACCACCTGCACAGTTAGAAGGTCCATAACCACAGATGGCCATGCCCTCGGCACTCACATTGCGCTGCCCCTCGCCAGCTCGTTCTCATGCCGTAGAGTGATGGGCCTGCACTTCTCTCTGAGCACGGTCGCTCTCGATCCTTGCCCTCGTGCTCCTACGCCGCCTCTTCCCGCTTCCGTTGCAGTGCCGGCTCGAGCAGCCAGCTGTATGGGCAACGGGTCCTGCGCATGGACGAGGTCACCATCAGGGCCCGTGAAGCCGCGGCATCGCAGGATAGGGCTCGCCAAGGCCGGGGGCCGAGAGGAGGGCACCAGCACCAGCATCGGCGGGCTGCCTCCACCGAGGGAGGGTGATCCCTTGGAGGTCCAAGTCTAGCTGCTTCTAGAGGAGGAGGAGGAGGAGGAGGAGGAGGAGGAGGAGGAGGAGGAGGAGGAGGAGGAGGAGGGGGAGGAGGGGGAGGAGGAGGAGGAGGAGGAGGAGGAGGAGGAGGAGAAGGAGTCTGGGGCCAGTGCCAAATACGGTTCTCACGTTCTAGCCAAAAACGTCTACGGAAGCAGACGCACTGGGGGTGGACACGTCCATGGGCAACTCGGTTGTTGCGTTCGGCGCAGTACAGGGTTTCAGAAAAGGGTAGATCCGTATACGGTATGTGTTTGTTTTAGAGCAGGTCCCACATGGTGCTCCAAGTGATCCCGATCTCGGTGACGGTGGGAGGATTCGGGCTTCTAGGTAGCAGAAGGATTACCACCAGCACCAACATCTAGGATCATGCGATCGCCTGTCGCTTCGCCTGTTCTGACCCACCACGGTTCGGCGCGACACGCTATCAACGTCCCCGCTCCCGTCCTGCGGTGGTGGTGGTGCGTGTGAAGAAGAAGGAGGAGAAGAAGAAGAAGAAGACAAATTATCCTGGCGAAGGACCCAACCATATGCAGTTGTGAGTATCGCAATTGTGAGTATCTTCTTCGGTGGCGCTCCCTATGGGGCCACGAACCGCATGAGGGGTGTGCCGAAATGTGGCGGGGTACACAACGCAAAGGAATACGATAGATCTGATTACGAAAGAAAGAACGCGGGTGAGTCAGAGCGCGAGGGAATCTGAGTATGAATGGGTCTGCGCGCGAATGAATATATTTGCATGAATGCGATCATGGAAACGCCTAGTGTAAGTGTATATGAATGTGAATGGTTCGAGCATGCCTGTCCGAACACACGTGACACTGGGCGTGGCCGCCGCAGGCAGCTTCCGCGGGAACCCCGACGGCAGCGTCCGCACGTCGCGACGCCCATGTCGGCACGCCTCTTGCGAGGATCGCGCCCGCTTTCGGCTCTTCTTTTCCTTCCTCTTTGCCCGCGCACTCCAAAATCCAAGGCTGCGGGCGCGGCGCAGCGCGGAGTCCCCGCGACGCGCGCTGGTCGCCCCGGGCGGGGCCCCAGCGACGCGCGCGGGTCGTCCGCTGCGCGAAGCAGAGAGAGCTGACTAGCTAACTGGCTGGCTGATAGCGGGCAAGTCTCTGACCGCTGGGCAGAGCGACGACGGGCGAACGAGGCGCCGGGCCCCCCGCAGCACGGAGTTCCCGCGACGCGCGCTGGTCGCCCCGAGAGGGTCCCAGCGACGCGCGCGGGTCGTCCGCGGCGCGAGGCCAAACAATTAGTCGGGCAGTCGAGAGAAGGCGCGGCTCGGGGGAGACGCTCCTCAGGTCAGGCCTCGCGGATGAACTCGGTGAAGCCGAGCTCCCTGGCGAGGGCCGTCGCTTCCCTCCTGCACCGCTTCGTGCGCGCAGCAAACTGCTCCAGCTGCTTCCGCAAGCCCTGCGGCGGCCCTGCCAGGAAGAACTCGATGCGCGGCGCCCGCATGAGCAGGAGGTCCTCGTGGCGCGTGGCGCGCGAGAGCAGCACGTAGAGCTCCAGCCACCAGTCGTCGTCCTCCTTCTTGCCGTTCCCTACCTCGTGGCGGCCGCAATCCAGGATCACGCCTGGGCGACGTCGACCGAGGGAGCAGCGCGCCGGGCAGCCGACGGCCCAGGGCGAGAGTCCACAGGACCGAGAGATGGTCTGGCCGCGGACTGCTCGCGCCCGGAGGTCTGGCCGCCCCCGGAGCGCCGTTTCTCCGCCCCGTCGCCTTCGCGCATGGTGCGCCCCTGGCACGCCACCGTGGTGATGACCCTGCCGTGCGAGAAATGCAAGGGGGGTGCCGAAATGGGTGGGGGTGACGCATGCGGGCGGCGGCACTGAGGCCTTCGGTGGAGCTCCCTATGGAGCCACGAAACGTGTGAGGGGTGTGCCGAAATGGGTGTGGGTGACGCATGCGGCCGCGGGCACTGGGGCCTTCGGTGGAGCTCCCTATGGAGCCTCGAAACGTGTGAGGGGTGTGCCGAAATGGGTGTGGGTGACGCATGCGGCCGCGGGCACTGGGGCCTTCGGTGGAGCTCCCTATGGAGCCACGAAACGTGTGAGGGGTGTGCCGAAATGGGTGTGGGTGACGCATGCGGGCGCGGGCACTGGGGCCTTCGGTGGAGCTCCCTATGGAGCCACGAAACGTGTGAGGGGTGTGCCGAAATGGGTGTGGGTGACGCATGCGGCCGCGGGCACTGGGGCCTTCGGTGGAGCTCCCTATGGAGCCACGAAACGTGTGAGGGGTGTGCCGAAATGGGTGTGGGTGACGCATGCGGCCGCGGCCACTGGGGCCTTCGGTGGAGCTCCCTATGGAGCCACGAAACGTGTGAGGGGTGTGCCGTGTGAGGGGTCGGTGCCGAAACGTGTGGGTGTGGGTGACGCATGCGGGCGCGGGCACTGGGGCCTTCGGTGGAGCTCCCTATGGAGCCACGAAACGTGTGAGGGGTGTGCCGAAATGGGTGTGGGTGACGCATGCGGCGCGGGCAC